ATATAAATGATTAGGAGAAAGGAGAATGGTTAGGAAAAGGAGGAAAGGAAAGATATACCCATCTGAATGCAAAATTCCAAAGAATAGCAAGGAGTGATAAGAAATCCTTCCTAAGTGAACATGCAAAGAAACAGAGAAAAACAATAGAACGGGAAAGACTAGAGATCTCAAGAAAATTAGAAATACCTAGGGAACATTTTATGCAAAGATGGACACAATAAAGGACAAAACGGTATGGAATTAATAGAAGAAGACAATATTAAGAAGAGTTGGCAAGAGTACATAGAAGAGTATATAGATCTATACAAAAAAGATCTGCATGACCTGGATAACCACAATGGTGTGATCACTCACCTAGAGTCAGACATTCTGGGGTATGAAGTTAAGTGGGTCTTAGGAAGCATCGGTACAAACAAAATTAGTGGAGGCGATGGAATTCCAGTGAGCTGTTTCAAATCCTAAAAGATCATGCTGTGAAAGTGCTGTACTCAATATGCCAGAAAATTTCAAAAACTCAGCAGTGGCCACAGGATGGGAAAGGTCAGCTTTCATTCCAGTTTCAAAGAAAGGCAATGCCAAAGAATGCTCAAACTATCACACAATTGCGCTCATCTCATCCGCTAGCAAGATTATGCTAAAAATTCTTCCATCTAGGCTTCCACAGTATGTGAGTTGAGAACTTCCAGATGTTCAAGCTTGATTTAGGAATGGCAGAGGAACCAGAAATCAAATTGCCAACATTGTTGGATCATAGAAAAAGCAAGGGAATTCCAGAAAGACATCTACTCCTGCTTTATTGACTGTGCCAAAGCCTTTGGCAGTGTGGATCACAACAAATTGTGAAAAATTCTTAAAGAGATGGAATACGAGACTACCCTACCTGCCTCCTGAGAAATCTGTATGCAGGTCAAGAAGCAACAGTTAGAACTGGACATGGAACAACAGACTGGTTCCAAATAGGTGTAAAGAAGACTGAGGTCTGAAGAACTGATGCTTTTGAACTGTGGTTCTGGAGAAGAGTTTTGAGAGTCCCCTGGATTACAAGGAGGTCAAACTAGTCAATGCTGAAGGAAATCATCCCTGAATTTCATTGGAAGGACTGAAGCTAGAGCTAAAGCCCCAACACTTTGGCCACCTGATGGGAAGAGACCACTCACTGGAAAAGACCCTGATGCTGGTAAAGATTGAAGGCAGCAGGAGAAGGGGATGACACAGGACAAGATGGTTGGATGGCATCACCAACTCAATGGATATGAATCTGAGCAAACTCCAGGGGAAGGTGTAGGACAGGGAAGCTTGGTGTGTTGCAGTCCATGGGCTCGCAAAGAGTCAGACAAGACTGAGCAACTGAACAACATGAATGATTAGACAAAGCACAGAGGACTTTAGGGCAATGCAAAGATTCTGTATGATATGACAGTGTTGGCTATATATCGTTATACTTTTGTACAAGCCCACTGACTCACTGGAAAAGCCCTGATGCTGGGAAAGATTGAGGGCAGGAGGAGAAGGGGACGACAGAGGGTGAGATGGTTGGACGGCATCATCGACTCAGTGGACACGAATCTGAGCAAACTCTGGGACTTGGTGATGGACAGGGAGGCCTGGGGGCTGCAGCCCATGGAGCTGCAAAGAGTCAGACACGACTGAGCAACTGAACTGAACTGATAGAATGAGTAACACCTAAGTGACTCCTGAGATAAGCTCTGGATATTGGGTGGTTAAGATATGTTAATGCTGGTTCATTCCTGATACAAATGTACCTTTCTGATGAGTGATATTGATAACTGGGGAGGCTATGCATACAGCATATGCATATGGTGGGAATAGTCTCTGCACCTTTCTTTCACACTCGTTGTAAACCTTAGACTATTCTAAAAATAAAGTCTTTAAAAAAAGAAAGAGCAAATGTTTCATAAACCCCATCAAGCATCATACAAAGAAAAGTCTACTGTTTTCATGTTGAGGGTGGTGTTAGACAAAATATTATTTTGTAGGTTTCAGACTGAAGAGTAAGGGTGATGGTTGGGGGCAGCCAATTTGATTCTCTGGTGAGATTCTTAAAGGAATGACTTCAAGAAGTGTGTTTGTACAAATTTGATAATGGTGTGAAGCAATCCTGGGCCCAATCCCGGCATTTGAGACAGAGGTGGATGGTTTCTCGAGGTCCCCAAACAAGTGTTTAAAACCTGCAAAAATGGGCTCAGAAAGTGGGAAGGAGAAATTAAATTTAGTTCTGCTTGTAAATAAGAAATATCCTGAATCCAAACACATATGCTCTATGCTAAACTCTCCTCAGATTAGCATAATCAGAAAGTCGAATTTGCTAATTCCAGATCAAGGAATGAGTTCTAGCCCATCTGTTTCTTTGTAAAATGTGAGGACCTATTACAGTCTCAGTGAGAACAGAACTTGGTGTTTACTGCCGTGTTAATATTTTGTCCTTTATGCAGCAACACTCACCCCAAAGCCTCCTCACTTCGCTGCAGACAGTGAGCATCTCCATATCCCACTTGGTGGGCAAGGGGAGCAATGAGGCAGCTGTTCCCCATGCAGTATTGAACAGCAATTTGGGATCCAAAATAGAGAAGGATATTGCCTTCACATAACAGTGTCAAGGAAATAAAGCACACAGTTGCCACGAATGAAACGGAACGAAAATGATGACTTATTTGTGTCAAGAGTAGCTGGGGACCTTTCAGTTCAGTTCAGTCGCTCAGTCGTGTCTGACTCTTTGCGACCCCATGAACCACAGCACACCAGGCCTCCCTGTCCATCACCAACTCCCAGAGTTTACCCAAACTCATGTCTATTGAGTCGGTGATGCCATCCAACAATCTCATCCTCTGTCATTCCCTTCTCTTCCCACCCCCAATCCTTCCCAGCATTAGGATCTTTTCAAATGAGTCAGCCCTTCACATCAGGTGGCCAAAATATTGGAGTTTCAGCTTCAGCATCAGTCCTTCCAATGAAAACCGAGGACTGATCTCCTTTAGGATGGACTGGCTGGATCTCCTTGCAGTCCAAGGGACTCTCAAGAGTCTTCTCTGACACCACAGTTCAAAAGCATCGATTCTTCAGCGTTCAGCTTTCTTTATAGTCCAACTCCCACATCCATACATGACCACTGGAAAAACCATAGCCTTGACTAGATGGACCTTTGTTGACCAAGTAATGTCTCTGCTTTTTAATACACTGTCTAGGTTGGTCATCACTTTCCTTCCAAGGATTAAGGGTCTTTTAACCTCATGGCTGCAGTCACCATCTGCAGTGAGTTTGGAGCTGACCTTTACCGCGTCTTAAACCCAGACAGCTTTTCTCCGGGAGTGCTTGCAGGCTGCCAGTCTGGATGGCCACTTGGCAGTGACTCTGGAGAATGAGCACCCATCCCTGATTATCAGCAGCGCTGGTGGGTTTTCCTTCAAGGTCTCCCCTCTGAGAAGTGAAGGTGCTTAGTCTGTGCTTAGTACAGGAGCTGGGAGGTTGGGGGAGTAGGAAAAGAACTGGCAAATCAAGGACCATAGCACCCTATGGATAAGCCCACAGCTCTGAGCCTGAATTTCTAACCTGTGATGGCTTTAAGGAGCCGCCTCTGCTGGACCTATTTTTCTGGCTAAATACTATTCTTAAAGAATGAGCCAGGATAGGATAGTTCCATACAGGGGACATCATTTATTTCAGGTGGAAATCAGGAGGGCATATATTTAAGGATATTACACAGGTCACACACAACAAGGTACATGGAAGAACACAAACGTCAGAAAGTCATTTGCTTTTTACCAGAAACTGCATACTCTTTTGAACTGTGGTGTTGGAGAAGACTCTTGAGAGTCCCTTGGACTGCAAGGAGATCCAGCCAGTCCATCCTAAAGGAGATCAGTCCTGGGTGTTCATTGGAAGGACTGATGCTGAAGCTGAAACTCCAGTACTTTGGCCACNAATTGTGTCCAACCCTTTTGTGACCCCCCCTGGACTGTAGCCCACCAGGCTCCTCTGCCATGGGATTCTCCGGGCAAGAAAACTGGAGTGGGGTTCCACTTCCTCCTCCCGGGGAGCTTCCTGACTCAAGGATTGGACCTGTGTCTCTTGTATCTCCTGCATTGCAGGTGGATTCCCTGGGCACCAGGGAAGTCCCCAAAGGTGGTCTCGGTGAAAGCGGAGCCACTCAGTCATGTCCGACTCTGAGACCCCCTGGACTGTAGCCTATCATGTTCCTCCGTCCATGGGATTTTCCAGGCAAGAATGTGGGAGTGGGTTGCCGTTTCCTTCTCCAGGGGATCTTCCCAACCCAGGGATCGAATCCAGGTCTCCTGCATCGCAGGCAGATGCTTTACCCTCTGAGTCACCAGGGGAGCCCCAAATGTAGTCTAGAGAGCTGTAAAAGAAATAAGCCCACTTGCATCAGTACAATTGGAGTTTATCTCTCTCTCTCCTTTTTGGCAAGCAGTTCTCCTCCATGAGGTGATTCTGGGACCTTAACTCCAAAGGATCATTTTATTTCCTTTAACTGAGATTGCATGAAGACCATCACGTCTTTCCTTTCCTTGTCTGGTCCCACTTCCCTCTAAACCCTCATCATGTTCTGCATCCAGCCAGTGGAATGGTGAACACATCTCTGCTTCTTAACTCTTGATCAGAAAATGAGTGTGACTTCTCACATTGTATCTGAAAGAGCTGGACCCACAGCCATAGCTCAGTCAAACAAAGGTTGTAAAATGCCTGTTCCTGCCTGAGCAGCTGCTCTGAGCTATAAGTATTTACCCTGAAATGGGAGAATGTACTTTGTGGATTCATAAGTTTCTCTGCCATCACCTCATTTACATATCCTTACTAGAAAAAAGCAAGGTGCACAGTATCTGTGTCACTAGGTATCTAAAGAGAAGGGGGAATATATATTTATATTGCTTATTACATGCCTTGGAAAAAAAAACTAGTTACCATGGTTACCTATGGAAGGAGTTTGGGGAATTAGCAAATAGGAGAGGAGACAGAAAGGAAACTTCATTATATACCTTTATATACTTTCAATATGCTAACACAATGAATGGAATTACTTATACAGAAAAAAAATTAAGAACTAGGAAAATGATGGACTGCTGTACCAATCTAGACAGAAGGAAGGTAAGAAGCATGACTTCCAGACATGCTGTCGACCCATCTGGCTCAGGGCCTGCACATCCCACCAGCAGCGTGGGAGTGTGCAAGGCCATCTGGGAACCCCGTCAGGAACTGCGGTCTTGAAGGCTGTGAGCGAAGTGTAGGCGAAGATGTACCAGAACTGATGTCATTATAGGAAACCTACTTTTCTTTTCTGAGAGAGGAGACAGAAGCTCATACAGGGGCCATCTCACTTCATACAGTCTGTGAAATATACATAAGTAAGGCAGGCATATTTTCATAGTTCTTTTCAATAAATGTTTGTTTCTTATTGACCTCGGTGGATGGGAGAGGTTTTCACCACAGAGAATGGAACACTGATGTCTCTGGACAAGTAAATGCTCCTTGCAGCATCCAATTATGGATTCAGACAATGAAGGGTATCTGCAGAGAAAGTAGGGGATGAAAGTCAGGTCCATGTAGTCAAAGCTATGGTTTTTCCAGTAGTCATGTATGGATGTGAGAGCTGGACCATAAAGAAGGCTGAACACTGAAGAATTGATGCCTTCAAACTGTGGTGCTCGAGAAGGCTCTTGAGAGTCCCTTGGACAACAAGGAGATCAAACCAGTCAATCCTAAAGAAATCAACCCTGAATATTCATTGGAAGGACTGTTGCTAAAACCAAAGCTCCAATATTTTGGCCACCTGATGCGAAGAGTCGACTCACTGGAAAAGACCCTGATGCTGGGAAAGATTGAGGGCAAGAGGGAAAGGGGGCAATAGAGGATGAGATGGTTCGATGGCATCATTGACTCAATGGACAAGAACTTGAGCAAACTCCAGGAGGCAGTGAAGGACAGGGAAGTCTGACATGCTGCAGTTCAAGCGTCACAAAGAGTCGGACACAAATTATCAACTGAATAACAACCGTGAGGATGTGGAGGGATGGCAGAGGAGGAGGCGGCTGCCTAGGACCTACATGGGATGATGTCCAAGGGAGGCTTCATCTTTATCTTCAAATATGTTGCCTGTAAAGACCGAGAAGCACCAGGAATCCACTGTGAGGGAGGTTGCCAATGTTTTTTATAGAATGCCTGTGACAGGAGCACAGATCCCAAGAGATTTCAGCGTACTCCCTCCCCGGTGTCATCAGCTGATGCCACCCTGCCTGCTTTCCTGCGAGAAAGCTGGAAGGATGATCTGGAGAAGCAGTGGCAGGGGTGTCCCAGGAGGTGTACTCGGGACAACCTTGGGAGACGTGCTCTCAAACAAGACAGGTTGGATGTGCTTCACTCTTTGGCTAAGACTTGATTCTTCAGTAGAGTCTGAAGTGTAGTGCCAGCCATTCATCAGCATTTCACTTTTCCGAGCTGATGCAAAACTCTTGACTGCAATTATTTATTACATGTCCTTTTCCTAATCACCCAGTGTTCCTCATTAGATGGATCAAAATTTACTGAAAGAGCCAACAAAAGAAAATATGTGGTATCACCCCTTAGGAAAGGATGTTATTTTGCATTTCCAATGTGCAAGCATCCACTTAGATCTTGCATAAACAGGTCACTGTTTACATCTTCAAGGGGCTCTATAACTCTCGGGGAAGACAAAGAGTTAAATAAATAGGGTTGTGCTAAGAGTTATGATTAACAGTACATATTTTTGGTTTCCAAATTTTTCAGTTTCAGGGACCCATAAAATTACAAGTATAGTATAACACAAAGCTGCCATGATTCATTTTGTTAAGAAAGTCCTTACATAAAACCCACCACCTACTAACATCACCATTTCATTATATAAAGTTTATCACAATATCTAAAAACATGGTGGTATATAATTGCATACAAGAAAAAAAGAACTTTTGGAAACAATTGATATACATAATCTTAGATAGGAATCTTAGGGGTAAAAGTTGATTTCAAAGGAATTTCTTTATAACTGGCAGTGTTTTCAGGGTCTACAGACCAGGCAGCCCGCCCTGAGTTGCTGTTGTCAACACCCCTCCAACAATGACTGTGATGAGATAAGCCCCCAGCCTGAGCTCTTTTAGGAAACTTGAGAATAATTACCTTCTCCATGCCTCATTTTCTGGTGATTCTCTAAAATGGAAAAAAAAAACAAAAACAAAACAGAGAAAACCACACTCTCCCATACCTAATTCTCATAGAGCTCTGACCTCTCTGCCCCAACTCAATAATTTTTAAACTTGAGGAAATCCTTTTCTTTCTTTTTTTAATTATCATTTGCAATTTATTCCTAGAAATACTCTTCCTCTGTTTTTTCTTTTATTCTCTTAATAAAAAGGCTTATATTAGGATATTTTCCAAATACTGAAACAACGTTGCATTGTGGATTAAATGAAGTGTGGTAATGGTATGTTAGATTATACATCAGAAATTTGGATGTTATTTTGTTTAATATTTTTCTTGTAAGACTAGCCTATAATTTTCTTCGTTGTCATCCCTCAGTTGTCCTTTTTCTAAAAAAAAAAAAAAAGGGAAAAATAGCTCAAGGCTACAATGACCCTTAAAACTGAATTAGAGAGGCAACACTTATTTTTCTATTCTCTGAAAGAACTTGGTAAGGTTTGGAAATAATTGTTTCTTGAACATTTGCTAAAACTTACTGGTAAAAACTCTCTGGGTCTGAAAATGATTTCTGGAGGAGATTTTTATATGCTGATTCAGTTTCTTTAATGGTAAGATTTTCTTTCTCCTCTCAAGTTAGATTATATATATTCTATAGAAATATTCTATAGTTTACCCATTTTACATAAATTATCAAATGTATCAGTCTGAATTTTTGTAGTTTTGTTTACAACTGTTTTATCTCAACTGTATCTACAGATATGTTCCTCTTTAATATTCTTAATACTATTAATTTTGTATCATCTTTGTTATTCTTGATTAATATTTTCAGAGATTTGTCATTCCTAGTTGCTGTTTTAAACAATCAGTCTTTGACTTCTGCTGATTCTAATGTTATGTTTGCCTTCTATTTCATTCATTTCTGCTCTTATTGCCTATTTCTATTTTCTATGTATTATTTTTTAACAAGTTAAATTAGATTCTTAGTTCATTTGTTTCAGTCTTTCTACCTTCATAATAAGAGCATTAAAGACTATGAGAATTTAAGTATCTTTTTAGCTGCAACTCTTGAGTTTTAATTTGGAGAAGGCAATGGCACCCCACTCCAGTACTCTTGCCTGGAAAATCAAGGGGATGGAGGAGCCTGGTGGGCTGCAGTCCATGGGGCCACAAAGAGTCAGACACGACTGAGCGACTTCACTTTCACTTTTCACTTTCATGCATTGGAGAAGGAAATGGCAACCCACTCCAGTGTTCTTGCCTGGAGAATCCCAGGGAAGGGGGAGCCTGGTGGGCTGCTGTCTATGGGGTCGCACGGAGTCGGACACAACTGAAGCGACTTAGCAGCAGCAGCAGCAGCATGAGTTTTAATTAGCATTGTTATTATCATTTAGTTTTAAATATTTTTAGGTTTTAGTTATGTCCTTCAGTCTTCTGTAATCTATAAAAGCTCCTCAATCCTTCTTTGTTTTTCATAACCTTCATACTTTTGAAGAATAAGCCTAGATATTTTGTAAATTGCCCCTCAATTTTAGTTTGTTACATTTTTTTTTCTCTCTTTTGGTGTTCTATATTTTAACTGTGTATGTCTAGATCTAACATTGTTCTGGTTCTTATTTGTTGGGATTCACAGTTATTCTGAACTGGATGTTAATTGAAGATTGAGGTTTTGCAACAATTTTGGAAAACTGTCAGGCGTTATACCTTCAAAATACGGTACACTGGAGAAGGGAATGGCAAACCACTTCAATATTCTTGCCTTGAGAACCCCAAGAACAGTATGAAAACACAAAAAGATAGGACACTGAAAGATGAACTCCCCAGGTCAGTAGGTGCCCAATATGCTACTGGAGATCAGTGGAGAAATAACTCCAGAAAGAATGAAGGGATGGAGCCAAAGCAAAAATAACAGACAGCTGGGGATGTGACTGGTGACGGAAGCAAGGTCCGATGCTGTAAAGAGCAACATTGCATAGGAACCTGGGATGCTATGTCCATGAAACAAGGCAAATTAGAAGTAGTCAAACGGGAGATGGAAAGAGTGAGCATCAACATTTTAGGAATCAGAGAACTAAAATGGACTTGGAATGGGTGAATTTAACTCAGGTGACCATTATATCTACTGCTGTGGGCAAGAATCCCTTAGAAGAAATGGAGTAGCCATCACAGTCAACAAAAGAGTCTGAAATGCAGTACTCGGATGCAATCTCAAGAACGACAGAATGATCTCTATTCATTTCCAAGGTAAATCATTCAATATTAGAGTAATTCAAGTCTATGCCCCGACCAGTAATGCTGAAGAAGTTGAAGTTGAATGGTTCTATGAAGACCTACAAGACCTTCTAGAACNCATAACTGAGCAACTGAACTGAACTTCAAAATATTTCCTCTTACCAGCGTTTCTATTATTTCCTGCTGAAACTCTGCTAGACGCATATGGGACTTTTTCAATCTATCCTGGAGATATCATTCTTTCATCTTTTCCATCTCTTAGTCTCTATTTGATACATTTTGGAGTTTTCAGATCTTCTAGGTCCGAATTTTTTCTTTAACTGTCTAATCTTCTGTTTGTGCCACACATTGTTGTATCAGTTATGTTTTTAATGCAAAATCAGTGGGTTAAAACCAGAATCATTTATATATCTGACACTTTTACGATTAAGATGAGTTGTTCTTCTGGTCTGGGATCACTTGACTGATTTCTATTGTGAGCCAGTATATCACTCTAGTCTGGAGTTTGGCTCAATGTAAGCTAGGGTGTCGGAAAACACTTAGATGTTAGTTGCAGTGTCAGGCATCTCTTAGATGCAAGTTGGCTGTGGTTTCCTCAGGAGGGCAATGGTGGGGGGGGGGGTTCCAAAGAACATGAAGAGTTCTGTCCTTATATGTAATTATAAAAGCACTTTTCAAATCTGTTTACATCATCTCTGAGAATGTTCTATTTTTCAAGCTTAGAGTCAAAATGAAAAGGGGCCATCGAGGAACTTGGATTCAAGGAGATCAGTTAGAACAGTTTTACAGATAATCTATCAGAACACTCACCCAATATTTGTTTGTTTTTTTGTAGAAGTTTTACAGCTTCAGGTCTTATGTTTAAGTCTTTAATACACTTTTTAGTTAATTTCTATGAGCAATATCAGATGGGGTTTCAACTTTATTCCTCTGCATGGGGGTATCCGGTATTCCCAGCACCATTTATTGAAGAGACTGTCCTTTCCTCACTGAGTATTCTTGGCTGTCTTGCCAACTACCAGTTGACCACATATCCTAGGATTTATTTCTGGGCTGTTGATTCTGTTCCATTGGTCTGTTTGCCTGTTTTTATGCCAAAACCATACTGGCTTGATTATGATAGCTTT